TCAAAGCAAATCAAGCTACTTTACCTGTAAACGCCGCTGTTGACTTGTCTCTCTTCAAGATGCAGTGCTGTAATGGTGTTCGTATGTGCAATTCTCAACATATATCGGTGAGTCAGATATTATAAAACCGATATCCGATAATGGAAGAATGCTTACATATCGGGGGGAAAATATCAGTAAAACCGATTATCGGCCAAACATAACTACTACAACAACAACCACCTAACTATCAATAAGCAGCAATTTAAGAGTTTATTGGGGGAAAATTTGTAATTAATAGTGAATATGTGTTCCGTAATCTCAAGTGTTACCCTCTATATTTAGTTATTTTAAAACAGCCCTTGAATGAGCTTGTGAATGACCTAACGTGTGTGAAATATATACATTTTAGTGTTATCTGAGAGTAAGAAACGTTTTATATACCAGTCAGCTTTCATTGTGAATTTGAAAAATGTTATTGAAATGCAAGTCTTTCAAGTAGCTTTTGAGATTTCAGAATTTCTCCAATCATTTTCATGGGAGCTGTACTTCCATGACTGAAAATAGTGAGGGTAATATAATATTTCAAGTGATTTAATCTATTCACGATATACACTCGTTTGCACATGAGAGATGCAGCTGTGTGCACACAATCTTCATACAGTACTACACTACATATAATTTTACTTAATATATGTATTTTTTAATTGCTAATAAATATGGGTGATTTGTTCCCTCAGAATGAAGAAGTGCAGTTCCTTGAGAATGAGCTGTGGAGCCAGAAACAGAAGTTCTCAAAGCTGAAGAGCTTCACCAGAAGCCTGCTGATCGCTGTGAAAAACAAAGACAGAAAGAAACAGCGGGTGAGGAAACATAAACGGATGAAACTTTTAGACGAGCAGTGGAAGAAATCAGATCGTAATCGGTGCGTTTGTCTGTTGTCAGGAGCTGTTAGCCAGTCTACCTCAGAAAGTGAATGAGGACTGTGACCTGGGCCTGGAAAACCACAGCGAGTCTGGCGCAGAGATGCCCACCATCCAGAAAGAGTCCTCTGTATCAGAGGAGGAGGAGGACACGGATCAGATGACACTATAAATACTTACTCACACATGCCACATAGTGCCTGTGGAAACGGAAAAACAACTGTCGGATCCCACGGGTCATTTTCTACGGCATATGTCATATCAGACTGCCTTGGCCGGGTCCAGTGCTATCAAATAAATGCCACTAAGTCAACACACGATTGCGTCTTCTCGTTTTTATTACAACTGGAAGCATGAAATGCACTGATTAGGATTATGTTTAAGCAGGTTTATACGTCGGCACGTCTGGGATCCGGCTGCAGGAAGTGAAGGGAGAAGCAATGCTTTTCAAAACTTTTAATCAATTGATCCAATTGCTTCACAAAATGATCGCAAAAGTACGGTGGCCGAGAAGTGCAAAACAAATCACAATTCTGAAAACAAAATAACAAATTACAAATGCAAATGCAAGTCGAAAAAACAAAATAACAATTCAGAAAGCACAATAACAATTCAGAAAACATTATAACAAGTCAGAAAACACAATGACAAATTTGAAAACAAAATGAATTGCCCTTACTATGGAATAAAAAATACGGAGTGTATATTTACATTTAGTTAAAAGTAGCTGTAAAACATCAGCTCCAGTGGTGCAGATGGATAAGCACATGTCGTTGGCTATTTTACGCGATCGACCCGGGTTCGATCCCGTCTTTTGCCGAACTTTTTTTTTCTCCCTTTTCAAATCTCGTATCACATTGTAAAGGCATTTATTTTCAATAAAAATTAAGGAAATAATCAAAAAGTTGAAAATAAAGTATCGGGTAGGGTTAGGGTAGGTGATGGGAGGGCTTTATTGTACCAATAAGGTGGCATCCATTTAATAATTAAAATTATAATTTACAGTCAATACGTTATTATTGCATACTGTTTTATAATGTACTACAATGCTGAAGTGCAGATAATTGCCACTATTTGCAACAAGTAGTATACTTGATAGTAGAAATCCTGCTATTTTAACATAGTGTAAATAGGTATTTTCACTTAGTGTAAATAGAATCCATTGCTAATATGAGATTTGAAAAGGGAGGAAAAAAAAGTTTGGCAAAGGGCGGGATCGAACCCCGGCCGATCACGTCAAAAAGCCAAGGGCAAGCGCTTATCCATCTGCACCACTGGAGCTGATAGTTTACAGTCACTTTTAACTAAATGTTAATAGACACCCCGTATTTTTTATTCCATAGTAAGGGCAATTCATAAAACAGCGATTTGCCGCCACCTACTGGCGGTTTTAGTGTCATATTTGGAGTGTCGTTTCTTTCTTTTTTAAAATAATGTGATATTTCAATATTTAATTGTTGTTGTTGTTTTGTATGTTAAATAAAAAAATACCTTTCTTTTGTAATGTCTATTCCGGGCTTTTCTAATTTAACACAATAATGACTTTAAATTATCTTTAATTAATTGCCACGTGATGTAATTAATTAAAAGATTAATTCGCTTGACAGCCCTATTTAAAATATAAACAATACACAAAATCATGCGAACTTACACCAGACAGCGAACCATTGAAATTGTAAAACGTTTAAAAACACCTTTGAAGTAGCAAAGCTTCATTTATTGAAATAATTTGGGCAGTCCTGGGTAATTCAATTAATGTGTGTTTTTAATAATAATAATAATAATTAAACGTTTTAAAATATTTATTTGTACGCTCCAAACAACGTGTATTAGCTGTAGTAGTGGTCAGGTGGCGCTATGTACCGGAAACTCTCCACAGCAGCCACGAAGAAGAGCGAGGGAGTTCTTCCGGTTCTGTAATGAAGATGGCGACAGTGAGGTGCAGAGAGTAAATATATAGAAACCCTTTTCTCTCATAGTGTCAGAAACAACCCTTTTTATTCAGACAGCGACGAAATGTCGACCCGAACGGCGTATTTCTACGACCCAGACGTGGGAAACTTCCACTACGGTAGGACGCGGGTTGCCAACTTCAGAAAAAGAATAAGGGATAATCGTGGTTTTTCATAGAAAAATTAGGGACATAATAAGGGATACACACACAGGCCTATTATACACACACACACACACACACACACACACACACACACACACACACA